AGCCCGGCCCGACTGGCTCCCGGGCTTGCAAGTGTAGATGCAGTAGCGGTCGTAACTCACAAGCTCTGCGCTCTGCACCTCGGTCCCAGAACCGATCGTAGCAAGGGTCCCTTCTTTGGAATGTCTCCGAATTCGCCCGACCTAAAACTGGCTGATTTCCTTTTGGCTTCTGTCGACAGTCAAACAGATCCAAAGCTCTCGCTACGAGACCTTTTGCTTCCTTGGGCCACGGGCCGCCCGATCCGCGAGCTCCTCGGTCTGGCGGCAGTCCGCCAAGCCTGCATGGTCACAAATGACACCAACCGGGGCTGACCGCGGCACATGATTTCACAAATTGCGAGAAGCGAAATGATCTTCCAAGTATCATGGGAGTCAGGTACCTGCGTTCGCTGGCCCAGGGTTCGACTGCAAAGAGGGCACAACGGTTGGCTCCTGGGTCGAAAAGGCATCGCGTCCATGGGCACGCCATGTCGTCCATTGGCACGCCAAGCCATGGCTGGTCAGGACATGCAGGTCGAACGTTCTGACCAGCTTTGCTTCTTGCAGAACAACCCAGATCTTGACATTTGCCCTCAGCATTGAAGGAGAAGCAAAAGTGAAGACCGGAAGCCAAATGCACCAACACATCCCAAAGCGTGACGTTCAACCTGACTCATGGCCGAACCGGGCGGAACACGCCTGAGCTCCTGGGGAAGCACTGGAAGCCTACAGTGCCATCCCCACCTGGCAGCTTCGCAAGTCGAAGATTCTCCGTTTTGCGGGCCAGCTGTGGTCATGGGCAACTTGTCCCATGGAAATATCAACCAACGGTCATCCCATCTTGTCCAATGGTCCAACTAACGGTCAAGGACCTTGAAAGATCAACCCTTTGCGGTATAGGCACCCCGCCCACATGTTTGTGTCACAGCTAGTCCTTCTCTGGAAGCAGCACAAGGCGTGGAACTCCTACTGGGTGCACGTGCTAAAACAAGTGCATGTTGAGATGAGCACCCCGCGACGAGAGCCAACGTGTCTCCATGACTTTGGTACATCGTAAAATTCAGAGATGTCACATTCCGTTGCTACTGTGTTGTAATGTATTGCATTATGGATCGCATTGTGTAGACTACACGACACTTTACATTCTACAGTAAACTGTGCATGTTGCATGACATTGCAAATTTCATGTTATAGTATTGCCTTCTCTTATGTTGGAATACATTACGTTACGTGACTCTGTCATATGTTACATACCTGACTGCGATGTGTTTTGGGCTCGAGCCAGGCACTTGGCAAGGGCAGATGTTTTGGCCACATCTACTGTCTGAAAAGCTACATGAACAACTCTGCTTGTATCTACCGCACATACTGCATGGCACTTTGCCAGCCCTAAACCCCCAAGGCCGAAGAGCCCTCCGACGCAGGACACGCGGCCTTCATTCCGGCGCTCGCCGATGCACTGGGCGCAGCTGCAAGGGTCGTCCTGGGCAAAAACCCCAACGACGTTGCGGTTGAGCAGAACGACGTGGGAAGATGTCAAAGGTACGGAGCCTTTCCAATGATTGGTTTCCTTCTTGGGCTCTTTGGTTAGCATCCCAGAAAGGAAATGCCCTCTACTTTTGACCCGCATGCGCTTTCGTCTGTTTTGTGGCACTCGGAATTCCGGTCCATACTGATAGCACCAGCATCCAACACCTTGCGATGATGTTTGTGCGATCGGCGCCAAAAACCGTCCCACAAAAATTATTGCATTGACCAATTTGGAATCGCCACAAGCTGATATCATTTGGATTGACCAGCATGCTGTTGATTAGCTCATGCAGGCCACCTGCCTCTGATATGATTCTGCAAGATTGCTGAAATTATGAATGCCATCGCGCCTGCCAACCGCTCGATTGCCCTTGCCGCAGTCGTGTCCTCAACTTGAGCGCAGGCATGTCTTGCGGCCGGGTTGCCTCTTTACCTGAAAAGTTGGCTGTTCAAACGAAAGTCATGTCCACCTTGTTCGTGGACAAGGGCATTCATCCCCTTTGTTTGCCACATCCGGCAACATCTTGGCACTCGCCGAGAGTCTAGCCAAAACCCCTGGTACAGCATCCGACCGGTTTCTGGGAGTCGATGGCTCTAAGTGGCCTTCATCCTTCAAGTCCCACCTGGGCTGTGGCTCAAAAAACCGGTACCCAAAATGGAACACTGGCAAGTGGAATCATGGACCAGAACCTGCGGTCCCAGCAGGCTTTCCTCAAGGGGCCCTCTCGGCCGCCGCGCCTGACTACGGCGGCCGCCAGGGGCACCTGTGGCGCGCAAATTCGGGACGCACATCCAACGCTCCATGCCACCGAAACATTTCAAACATAGGGAACCTATGTGAGCAGTGAAAAAAACCCCTGTCACCCGTAAAGGAAATTACTTCAGCTTCCGCAATCGCTTGCGGAAAGCTTCCGCCAACCGAAAGGTCGCTTACGTTTGCTATTTTTCGAAGATGGAGCTTACGCATAGCTTACGACAAGTTGCTCGTGCCTGATCCTCGATGAGCAAGAGGCGCTAGCATGACAAAGCAACAGCTTGCAGATGGAAAGGCTGCTGCGCAGGCCCAGCAAGACAATGGAGGGCCAAAAGCTGAAAACAAACTTTCGGGGCACGAAAAGTTGTTTTCTGCAGAAAGCGCGCGGAACCTCTGCGAGCAAGAGGCGCCGGCAGGACAGAGCAACAACTTGCCTGGAAAGGCGCAAAGGCTTTGCTGCACAGGCTCAGCAGTGACATGGAGGGGAAAACTTTTGGGAACCCGAAAAGTTGTTTTCTGCGAGGATCCACTACGAGCAAGAGGCGCCAGCATGACAGAGCAACAGCTTGCACGGAAAGGTGCAAAGGCTTTACCGCGCAAGCTCAGCATTGACGTGGGCACACTAGGGATTGAACCTGGGCCTGCCGCATGCGAAGCGGGTGTGATACCACTACACCATGTGATCCTGATGTTGCTGCCCGAAGCCGATGTTAAAGCTTTCACGGCCAGAGAGGGGCAACAGCTCAAGAAAACTTTGCAGACAGCGCACGGGCGCTGCGAGCAAGAGGTGCAGGCTTTGCTGCACAGGCTCAGCAGTGACATAGAGGGGGAAAACTTTTGGGGGCCCGAAAAGTTGTTTTCTAAGTTGTTGTTCCAGCCCGCGAGCTTTTTTTGGCTTCGGGGCCCTGAAAAGTGCCTGCAGGTGGCAAAAGGTGCCTCGCAACAAAAAAAATTCTGGGCTCGAAAAGTTGTTTGTGCTTTCCAAGCCCAAGGCCCAAAGGTGAAAAGGCAAATCCGCAGCAAAACAAGCGGGGCTCAACATGTTGTTTTCCAAGCCCGCGCAACGAACAAGGTGAGGTGCCAAAACAAAACTTTCGGGTCTCGAAAAGTTGTTTTCCAAACGCGAGCTTTTTTGTTCAAGCTGGCCAACGCGCTGTGCGTGGAAAATTGCAAAAGGTTTGCACAAGTAACCCAACGGTCAAACAGCAGTTGTCTGAGCCAGAAAAAGTTGTTCACTGAAAGAATCCCTTTCCTTGTTGCTCGAAAGAACCCATTCCAGCAATCTGATCCCATTTTCACGCCTAAAAGCATTACGCGGACCAAAAGCAACTTCTACCAAACAGTCTGAACGAAAAACGGATCTGACAAACAGAGCTTACGCAAAGCTTACGACGAGTGACTCATGCATGCAGCTTACGCAGGACCTTCCGATCGCTTACGAATCACGCAAAAACGCTTACGACTGCAAGAGTAATTTCCAGTTTCATCTAAATTGATCTACGGAGGTTTTTTTCGCCGCTCATGTGAGACTCGAAGGGGCTGGTGGGAGGCATTGTGGACCAAAAGGAAACTGTAAATCCGTTTGTGGCATTCCATGCTAGTTTGCTAGACCCAGTTGGTCATAAAGTAGACATGGGTTTGCCTTCATGGTGAGTTTACCATTGCTTTCCTCTCCCTATGTTTTGTTGATATGGCAAAGCCCGCAGAACCTGTCACACCCAAACCCCGCGGCGCGCCAGCACTGCCAAACGGAGCATGGCCTCAGCGGATACGCTAAGCGGTGGGAGGGCCCCCATCCCTGGGGACCGGAGTCGAACTATTTGTGTATTTCCCGCCCAAGGGGAAAGCGATTTGAACCAGCCAATAAGTGGAGGAATCTTCCTCGGGCGGAACACCGTTTGGGTTAGACGCTGAGAATTGGGGGGGGGGGGGGTTACATGGTGAAAACGTTCGCAATCCTGCTGGCTCGATCTGCAGGGAACGAGGCAATGAACCCAATCAGCCCGTGCACAGGAAGGAGTCCAAAACTTGTCCGACACCTCGCCACAAGCCAGCTCCGCTCTAGGCCGCTTGTGAGCAAAACCCCTGGAGCTACGCCGATCCTTCCCAAGGCGAGACATGCGCCGAACCCGGCCTCTCCCAGGATGCCCCGAGAAAGACGCTGGAGCCACAGAACGAAGGCGGGGGGACCGACACTCATAGCTGTTGAAGTGCAGCGGAAATTCTCCTCCCCCCCGCCCAAAACGCCAGAAACAAACCAATCTTGATATGTCGGACAGTTTCTGTTCTGGCCAAAACCGGCACAGCTGGCTTTGCAATGCTCAGCTGCGCGCTAAAAGCAAAGATCTAGTATCTGTTCACTTTGCCAGCTGAAGTGAAACAAATCAAGCATGCGAGCCTCCCACCTTCAAAAAAGGGACGGTAACCACGACTAGTCGCAACATTCATCAGCTCTCCAAACCTGAGGCAGTGAAATATGGTCCGCCTCATGAATTCAAGTCACTTCCACGTGTAGAACGCCTGAAATCACCTCGGAGTAACTAACTGTTCTGCCGGAGCTTTTCCTCTCCTGTGCGCGGGCCGCAGGCCGCAGGCCACGCACGCGTATCGCCGGCCCTTGGGCCAAAGGACCCCGCTTCGTGAAACGGCGACCAACGCCTCACGGATCTACGGAGACCGGAGGACCCGGAGTCGTGCACATTGCCGGGCAAAAAACGGCAAGAAGCCGCGATGGGGTTGTTGGCCTGTCTCGGCTTCACGGCTCTTGGAGCTAAACCTTGTCCAACCGAAACCCTTCTTTCAAACGAGGTCCTCTGGCCTCCTGTGGCACTGTTCCGTGGCATCACTGCCTGGGAAAACGACCAGAGGGCTTGCGTTGGGGGTCGGCTGCGAGTGGGGTAAGGGAAATCAAAGGGTGGGTCAAACGAAGTGCGCTTGGAACTGCTGTCAAACATGCCAACAGTGTATGCTGATTGACTGCTGAGGTCGCTCGCAGACAGCAGCCCGTGCCTTCACCAGCCACCGCCCCACGGGTTTCCTGGGGCGAAGCCGCGTCACAAGCTCTCCAAAGAGAGTTGGTAAGAATTGGTTCTTCAACCAAAGGATCGGTTGGGTTTTGCAGCACAAAGCCCTGTGCTTCTGAGCAAAGCTTCACTGCCACCACCCCAGGGGTCCCTGAAATATCCGTGAAGCCAGGAAGTTGAACCAATAGCCAGGTGGGGTTTTGGCGAGGTTTACCATCCACAGGCAAAGGGCCCAAGTTTGCTTTTCAGATGTTCCGGGCTTGGTCCACCGGTGCATGAACGTTGCGTCCGCGTGTAGACTAAGGACAGAGGTTGAAATGGACCTCCGTTTCCTTCAGTCTGAGCCAGACTGGACCTGTGCTTGATGTGCATGACCATTATTTGGTAAAAGGTTCCCCCAAGAAACACGTCATCGACGAGCCCGCCAAGGGCGGAGAGGTGTCACCATGTAGCATTGCAGCATGCGTGAAATATGTTCGTCTCCCAGGTATCCCAAAAACATGACCGCTGGAGGACCAACCGGCAGCGTTCGGCCTCCGCAGCCCGCGCCCGGCGGGGGAGGCCGCGGCGGCGGCGGGACCTTCCATCCACCAGTCCGCGAGTTGGACGCTGAGCCCGCTCAACCAACTTAAGCTTCATCAGAATGGGATAAACCAACACCAACTTCGTCAGAAGCAGATGAACCCCAGTAAACTCATAAACTCATAACCCAGTCATTGTAAGGGGACTAACCCCAAGGGAAATAAAACCAACTCAGCATTTTCATAAGGCGACTAAGCCCAATTCCCCCATAGCCATCTGCTTGAGTTGGTTGGTTCAAGTTGAGGGTCTCCCATTGGGCTACTCCCACCACTCGTTCACCCGTTTCCCGTTCCGGGTATGATCAACAGGTGGCCGTACACATGGCATGGACACATGGATCACACAAACCAATCGCCCACAACTGGACTTTCTCGCAGGGAAACAAGGCTGAGGGGTCGTTCCACCGACGTTCTCGCCATGCGCCGGGGCAAACACTCTTTGCCCACAGACCCTATGCGGAAAGTGGCTGCCTAAAAGTCCCCCTGCAAATGGGTCCTGTTAACCCACAACCAAATCTTTGCGCCCTGGTCACGTTGCAGCAATCATGCAACAGACCTGCCAAGGCGGATGCGTGAGAACTGATCTTCCTGGTTTTCCCTCTAGGAGCTTGGCCCCACAAAGGACACCTTTCACGTAGGCATGTGCCAAAATCAGGCTAGACCACCATGTAAGAAAACCGCCTTCTCAACCGGCTTCGGTCGTTTCCAAGCTGCGCCCGAACCAGGTGCTCCGGCGACCAGCGGCGGCGGCGGGAGCGGCGAAGTCTCTTGGGAGGTAGGGATAAGCCTCGCGGATGGATGTTGGGACCTGCTCAAGAGTTGATGGACGTCTGCGTCATTTAAAAGCCAACCGCCATAATGGCCTCAAACCCAGCAGGGTGTCCTGAACTTGCAAGGCCGCAGCTGGAGCATTGCCACGGAAAAACAAACCACTCAGAGAAGGGCAGCACACAAACGCCCCCTCTTTGAATCTGCAGGTTCTACAATAACGCCAAAACCGGAAATAAGAATTGGATTTGCAAGTAAATGACCCACATCCGAATAAGCTCGCGTTTCTGTCTGGGCTCGCCGGGCCCATGCTTCACCGCCTCTGCAGCAGCCCTCGCCTGCAACTCCCCGGCTGCGGTGATTTCGGGGGACGCCCAACCCGACAAGCTCCATGGGAGACGCAACATAGGCAGGCGGCATGCGGAGAAGGCCCAAGACAGGTTGCTGTGGGTCAAAAATAAGTACCCAAAATGGCAGGCACCCTAAATGGAAACAATGAGAAAAATTGACAAAAACCTGTGGTCCATATCCTGGTGGTTGAACTTGACCCATACCCAGGTGACTTGCTCCAGTCTGCGCCCGGCAAAATGGCAGATCTTCGGTGCAAGGCTTCCACTTCCGATCCCCGCCCGCGCGATGGACTCGGACAGCGTGGCCGGGAAGCTGTTGGGCTGGTGCCTCGAGCACCGATCGCATTCGAGCCCAAACGGTCGCCGTTTCCCTAAGACGTTTCCCAAGAAGGTACCGAAGCTTCAACTTAAGGCAACCCCATGGCATTTTCTAGAGGTCTCTCCCAAAGCCTGGCTCCTCCCGAGTTCCGTGCGCTGGCACCGCCACGGGCCCGTGCGACGTCGTCCTGCGCACTTCGTGCCGTTGGGGAAACTCGGCGGCTGGGGAACGCCTTTTGTCGTGGGAAACTCGGCGCCTGTTTTGGGATTTGCTCAATTCTTTTGGGGGGCATCCGCGGTTCGATACTGTGATGCCACGAAATGGTTCTCAGCTTGCCAGTGTTGGGAACTGGCTTTTGAACATGTGAAGATGGCCCTGGGCCCCAGCTCTGCGGGCACATGGGGGTTGCTCTCGCCATCTCTGGGGCTGGCGCATAGCGGCCGGCGTCTTCGTCGGGACCATGTTCTTATCCAGCTCGGCCTGCGTTTCAAGGTCACAGGGGAAGGAATGGACAAAAATCGGAACAGATGCCCGGGATGAGAGCTTCGGGACCAGCACAAAGAGCAGTCGACAGCATAACGGACAGGGCCCAGGGATCTCTCTCAAACTCCGCCTGGATCAAGGACTTCGCGATGGTGATGGCTTCCTGGCACCGTGCGCTTTCAGCGAACAAGGTCCGCATGAGTTCTGAGTCTCGAACGGGATGGTCTCCAGGGATGCGTCCCCCAAGTGGAGCAAATGCAAGCAACATGCCCAGGTCGACTGCTCGCGCATTGGCTGAAGCTACAAGCCGCCGCCCCAAAAGGAGCAAGACAAACATGCCCCGAAGAAAAAGCTTGATGCCAGTATCCTCATTCCCCGAAAACCATCGAAAGCAGGCTGTTCTACCAGAAAGCTCAATGTCCAAAGAACAACAAGGGCTTTTGGCGCTCCTGGAAACCTCCCGCTCTCGGCTTCCTTCGCTTCCCCACATCTCCCGAACTCCGCGCCTTGGTGCCTGTGAGCCGCACCTTGCAGCGGGGCCCCGACTTGTCGATGTCGATCCGCGCCTGGAGCTTCGCACAAGCCTTGACTTGTCTCGACGTGCGGTTCGGGGCCTTTTTTCCTCTTTTCCTTCTTCGTACGGTTCTGGAACCAAAGACGCAACTGCTGCAAGCATTGGCCTGCCAAACCTCGACTCCAGCAGAGTTGTTCGACGGGCGACCTGGGCCCTGGACCCCGCTGGTATCCTGGAACTGCCGGATCCGCGAGCCTGCATTGGAAAAAAGGTCGGACGGGTGCCGCCCATGGCCGGTTCTCTCCACCCACAGTTCCCACTGGTTGGCTTCCTTCAAGTTTGTTAAGTTTGTTTCCGAAAGGCCAACTTCTCGAGTCTCAAAGAGTCGCAGAGCGGAGTGCGTTCACTGCATCGGGAATGACCCTCATGAATCGATGCCCGAAGAGTGTGTGAGCCTGAACAGATTGAAGGTGTCCCTAGAGGCTGCAAAGCTGAGTTTGCAAAGCTTCGTAATACTAAATCGATTGGTCGGGCTCGAGGAATTTCATTCTGAAGACCTCCATTCTGTACGTGGATGGTAGGGAAGGTCTCTTCATCAACGGCCGGATATTAGCCAAGTCTGGATTTGTGTCAAACCGCTGATCCCTTGTCCTATGTTCAAAGGACACCAACCCGAAAAATATTCACAGTAGCTGAAGGGGTCCCGTGCAGACTGCGCCAGGTTCTGCGCCTTGTGCACCGATGAGGGCGCCCGACACGTTCTTCGGCAGGTCGAGGTACTCGGACAAATCGTCCTTTTCTGCCGGGTCGAAACATCGTCCGAGAGGCCCAAAAGGCAATGCTGGAGAAAAAATCCCAGTAAATCGGCCCCGTGTGCCAATTTTTCTGGAGGACACTCCTTGGAAGCTTGCCCAAGAGATGTTTAGCGCCAGCAAAAGGAGAAGTATAGGAAACCCTGAACTCGGAACAAGCGGGAAAGGACAAGGCGAGGTCAGGGGACAGGCCCTCCTCCAACTGCATGGCGATGGTGAGGAGCACCTTCTTGGCACCTAGGCAGGCGCTGGGATCCCTGACATGGGCTCCTTCTGGGTGGTTCCAAAATCCACTTGGTTGCATGACGAATGGAGATCCCCCCTGCCTGTTGGTGGCTTTCCGGCAGGGGGGGGGATCCGCCGAGGGAGATGATCCTCCAAAATGATGGTTGTGCGCTTCCACTTTGGCGCTCAATCACATCCTCCCCATCCGCGCTCCGGGGCTTCGCGCGATCCACGTTGTCGGCGTCGCCCTGCAAGAATGTCACAGAAGCCCTAGTTTTGCATGCGCGCACACACACACACACACTCGTTAGCTTCGCCCAAGTTCCCATGTCTTTCTGTCGGTTGGTCTTTGAGAGCAGGATGTGGTTGACGGGGCGGGCAACTTGGTAAGGTTGGACGCGCTGCGTGGCCTCAAATTGCAGATCAATGCCATGTGTTTGACAAACTGCCAAATTTCAAGCGCTCCATTTCCAGGCCCTTCGGATATTGGCTGGTTCGCTTCAAGGCCTTTGGGCTTTCCTTGGAACATACCAAAGAATATGGCTTCCGATGTTGGTCTGTCAAACCGAGTCCAACCCGGTGTGGGAACCGGCATTCAAAAGTAAAAGTGCAAGCAATCAGCCAAAGCCACTTGCACAAACTTGAAGCGGCACGTTGCCTGCCCAGCGCGCCTTGATATAGCACTTGCAAGGGTCGGTGTCGAAGTCCACATCAATCTTGGTGTGTGTCTGCTGCTGAACCTCGTTCACCTGCGCCTGCAGCAAGAATACAATTCGTGCATTGGGGAGAGAGTGCACGGCGGCATTGGGTTCTGGGGCAGCAGGAAGTAGATGGTCCTCGCACTCACTGGGCCCCTGGCTCCTTTCAGCCCGATGACCATGCCGATCCTCGACCAATCACAGCTTGCAGTGTCAAAAAAGAAGAAAAAGAGAAAAGGGAAAAAGAAAAAAAAGGACCGTAACTTTACTTTTGGGTTTCGAGCTTCCTCATACCGGGACATCGTTCCGTGGCCATGCCCAAAGACTGCCAGTAGCCCTTGTGCGTTGCTCAAATGACGGCAGGCATGGCGGAACCGTCTCGTCCCCAAAGCCACTCTACCACTGTGGCCCGGGCTTGGAGCGCGGGATCTCCACGTAGTGCGAGCTTTGGTGCTTCGACCTCGAACTCGTGAGACGATGGACCCGGGGAAACAAAGCGCACCCAAGTCGAGCTCAGCCCGCGGCTTGGTCTGGTCGATGAGCTCGAGGATCAACTCTTTGGCCTGGCATTCAGCGGCTTCTCAAACCAAAATGTCCGGAAAAAAACATCCCCAAACCAAAGGGCTCCGATTGTCGGTTTTTCCGGGTGGACTAAGGGTACAAGTGGAGCACTGAAGCGGAGTCTGAACCGCCTTCGTCACCGCCTCCGCAGTACCAGCCACCTTCACCTGGCGAAGTCTCGAAGAAAACGCGTCCCTTGCAACCTGAAGAAGTCTCACGACAATTCACCTCTTGCTCTTCGGCTCATCTTTGTACAAGTCTTCACGGGCTTTCTGATACCCGACTCCCACTTCTCATTTGCAACCACATTTAGACAATTCGAAAGTCTTGAAATCCAAGCCCTCCAAACCACCCCCCCCTCTCCGTCCCCTCCAGTCCTCTCACGACCCAAACCACCCCCGCCCCCCCCGGTCTCCCAGCGTGCCATGCAGGGGTCCGAGGTCTGGTCACGGGCGTCTACCTTGAAGGCACCACTCCTTGGAACTCATCGCAGCCTGTCCTCTTCTTGGCTTAAAGGAAAACCGCCAAAAACAGCTTGTTTTGGCTGGCTTGAAGAACGACAAGGAAACTCGAAATCCAAAAGCTTGTCGGAAAACCAGAAGGAAAACCGACAAACCGCCATGTTGGTGGGGTTGTTGGTTGGATTTAAAGGACCACAAGGAAAGCCGAAATATTTTGGAGAAAAAAAAAGAAAGACTGTTGGTGGATTGTTGGTTGGGTTGCAAGGACCACAAGGAAAAGGAAATCCGGAAAAAATGGGCACCAACAAAAACACACTCATGTCTAGATCTGCATAAAGATACAATGTTTATGGATGGATGGATGGATGGATGGATGGATGGATGGATGGATGGATGGATGGATGGATGGATGGATGGATGGATGGCTGGCTGGCTGGCTGGCTGGCTGGCTGGCTGGCTGGCTGGCTGGCTGGCTGGCTGGCTGGATGGATGGATGGATGGATGGAAGTCCGTCCGTCCGTCCGTCCGTCTGTCTGTTTGCATGCATGCAATGCACATTTTGCTGCACATCTACGCGCTGCTCCTCTCATAATAAGCAGCTTCATGACTTGGTTATTCTGACCCTGATTGTCCTGAGCTTGAATGCATCCCAGTCATCAAGGCCCGCGCTTTTCTCGGATCTCGATAATTGTGGCCGCCTGTTTTCCGATCACCTGCGGTTCGCTCGCGTCACGGACGTCATCACTCATGTGACAGTCGCAATCCGTCACAATTGCCAAAACTCCTGCAGGCTTACTGTCAACACAGAATCGGCTGCCAAACTACCAACCACTGCAAAAGTATCCATATCCCTTGTTGCCTGCTTTTCAGCAGGGAATGGGGGAATGACCCTATGAGCCATCCCTTGCCGCATTTCTCTGAATCCCAAAACGGACTCCAAAACCCCAAAAGTCGAGTCAAACCGCGCGCGCCTTGCCCAACAGCGCCTTCGGCACCGCCACCTCGTCCTGCAGGCGCCAAGCATCGAGGCGCCGAAAGCGGCAAACCGAAAGCGACCCCAAAATGTGGAGATGTCGGAGGTCCGGTTGGGTTCAAACGAAAAGCCAGACCCAAAAAACGGGAGCCGAGCCAAGGAAGGGTCAAACAGGCGGGGACTTGGTGGTTCATCTGGGATCCTGCTCCATCCCAGGTGGGGGAACGCATAATAAGGGGACTGTGATACTTCCATTCCTCGAACAGCCTTGCGCCGAAGCGGGCTGTTCAAGAGCCTAAGGTCTTGTCGAGGTGTTCCTGGGCGCCTTACAAAAATCTGCCCGAGGAAGCGGTGGCCTGGGCGGCCCAGGCCAGAAATCCCTGGAACCGAACCTCATGCCCCCCTTTCGGCCCAGCGGACAGCTCCTCTACAGAAGGCTCTAAGAAAATCGGCACATCCTGCCGAAGCGCACAGGCCGCCGAGTTGGAACAGTTCTGCGTACGAAGCTTTGTTTGAACATGTGGTCTACACCAAAGCACGGGGTGGTCCTCAAGAACCTACAAAACAAGCGTGTTGGGTGACCATTGATGCAACATGTACGAGCAACAAGAATACGCGCACAACGCATGAAAATGGCCAGCACTCTTCTCATCGAATGGCTTTTTCCCAAGGCATTCTTCAAATTATGGCATGGTTGGTCCTTGTCATTCTAGGATATGGGACCGGCTCTGTCTTGGCGCTTCGATGCAGTATCAAGTATAGTATGTCAACCTGTATGCTCTAGCTGTGACTATCTACCCCCAATGCTATATATATATATATATATATATTTCTATACATATGTTATATATAGAGATACACATAACAGAAGATAACTGCAAGTGCCAGTGGGGCATTCAGGTGCAGCCCTGTCTCCTCTGCGTGTCCTACTGAGCCCATCCCTCTCCACAGCTGAAGAAAGACGGTCGCGCAACACCCTGAAGTTGTGCCTCCGGCGGCTTGTCATCCTCGCAGCTGCAACAGATCGACGAAACCCGCCGAACCAAAGGAACTTCGCGAGATACGCGTAGTACGTGGGAGGTAGCGGGGCCGAAAAAGTGGAGCTTGCCACCAAAGGCGGCAGAGAAACCATTGCGCTCATGTCCAATACACTGCTTTCAGTCGCCTACCTCTTGGAATGAACTTTGGAAACAGGCTTCATAGTATTCCTTCCCCCCCCCCACCCAGCTAAGGGCACTGAACAGAATTGATCACATCAGCATACCGACATCGGACATATCCTCCCCAGCAACAAATGTCTCACTCTGACCAGCATCTTACAGCCCAATTATCATAATTGGCCTGTCACATTCCGAACGAAAGCCCCCTCTTGCTCTTTCCTTAGTGGAAGGTGTACCCTGAATCAGGGCGTGCAAGGAGTACGAGGCCCCCGCATCGTCCCGCTCGGCGATGGCCCAGCCTGACCCCAAGACCAACCAATCACAGCAAAATCACAGTGGTTTCGTGTGGGTGCGTCATTTTGTCTTGGACCAACAAATTGTGGTGTTCCTTTGAGTTTCCTTGAAAACCACAAAAAAAGGCACCCTCAAAAACATACAAAACAAGCCGAATCCACCACTCCAAATGGTGGTGCCATGTCGGTTCTTCCTTCCAGTCCTGCCTGTGTTGCCCTCGTAGGAGCCCATGCTGACTCGGACGGCAAAAGAGTCGCACCACATGCTCCGGAAACAAAAAGTTGCGCTAAGATTTGTGGTCCAGAACATGACATGTGCAGTCCTGAACCCCAATCCAGCACAAAAAGGCGCCCAGCGGACAAGAACTTCTTCATGAGGCTCGATGAGTGCTCCCCCCTTTGAGAGAACACCCGCTTAGATACAAACCAATCCTAAACTGGACCCTTTTCCACATCAAAACCATGTCAACAACGAAAACTCCTTTCCAAATACAAAGATCTTGGGTGCAAAACCAAAAATCGCTTGAAGAACCTTGGGGTCTCCAAGCTGTACCTTTGGGCCCCCGCCGCCGGGCCGGTCCTCGCGGGCGCCTAAGGCGGTGAGTTGTGTCGAGATGGACTCGAACTCGTTGGGATACATGTATATATATATATATATATATAATAGGGACAATCGCCATGTGGCCGTTGCGTAAAATTCAGTTGACTCCACCACTCCAACTGGCTCGTGGGCCTGCTTTCAGAAACTCTTGGATTGGCCAAAGACGCACCGAAACCTCAAAGACTCAAAGAGCAAAAAAGAAACAAAAGAAAATCCGCACAAAAAAAAAAAAAACAAAGGAACAAAATCGTGTTTTCTCTCCAAGCTCTCGTTCCTCTATCAAGTGGCCTTGCCCCGAATCGGCCCGAATTCCCAGGGCCCAGGCCGGGCCAGGCGGGCCTCGGCTCAAGCGTCGCGGGCCTTTCGCACCCGACGCCCGCGCGAGGCTTCGGGGAAGGAGCCACCTTTCACTTTCGGGAAGCATCCAAGTCTGGCAGAGGATCAGATGATGTACAAAAACCTATGTCTCGGTATGTATGTGTATATATATATATATATATGTATAATCAGAAATTCTGACCGATAGAGAAGTCAAAGGTGGGTTCTTTGCTCAGTAGCGTGACATGTCTGAGAAGAAACACATCTTGCAGAGGAACGATCTCTCTGAGAGGTGAACTCACTTCAAACTACTTGCCAGATCCCGCAGAATTGGACCAAAACTGACACATGCACGAGCTTCCTGCCATACGACATACATCGTCAAATACATGTATATATATATATAGTATTTATATGTGCATATACTTATAGCTTGCTTGACGTTTAGTGACTGCGAAATGTATCCTACCTGCACCTCAGAGCTTCGCTGAGGTGCGCAGAGAGTCACTTCTCGGTGCCCTTCGCAGCTGAGATGCCGGCATACCTTGCCCCCATTGGCCCCAGCCCATGTGTCCTGGCGCGCTAAGCCCTGAGCACCTGACTCAGCCACTCCTTCCCTGCAAAACCACAAAATTCGAAAGGACTCAAGAAGAACCTGCTGGAGCCCTTGGAACCTGTGGAAAGCCCGTCCTGGCCAGGCGGCCATGCTCATGCTGCCTGGCTTTCGAATTCTGAAGCAGACTGTGCGAGCGCGCAGGACCAGCAGATTCATCTGACAGCGGTTGGAAGCTGTCTAGAGTCTAGCCCGGAATCCAGCAAAATGGTTCCTTTGACCCGAAAAGCAAAGATACTGCCGGCGCTGGGTCTTTAGAGGCAAAACTGGATTAAGGCAAGGCACTCGCGCCCGGTCGCCAAATACTAGTCCCGTGTGGGAGAAGCCCTTTGTATCGGAACGAGTTGGGACATGAAGTTGCCCAAAGTCGTCCAACTCGATCTCTTGCCATCAACAGTCAATCAGTCAATCTGCATGCGAAAGGTCCCCTCAAAGAAAGCGATCAGCCCCAAGCCACCAAGCGGCGCCTTGCGCGCTCTGCGCGCCCCAGGACCGCCACATCTCCGCCCACTGCGACGCCTCGGACACACGCCGGCTCATCCGAAGGGCCGAAATGGAGCCGTCCCTATTTCCTCCTCAAAGTTATTCCCCCAGAGGCAGCTGCAAAGGTCCAAGCCACAGGGTCAAAATCAATCGTTTTGGAGCTTGGGTAACCGGGCAGCCTGTATGGAGCTTGATATGGGTTTCCCTCAGCCGGAACGCCTTTCCCACAACTGGCTCATTGGAAGCATGCTCAGAGCTGAGTACAGTTCCCACAACTGCCGCAAAAGCGTTGGAAGTTTGCCAACGTAAACCCCCGGCCCACGGTCCGGCCATTCGCCCTCGGACCCCGGGCGTCGCCCTGCTCGGAGGATGAGGACCTCAAACGCCGATGGGTGCCATCCTTCTTGGCTCCATGTGCCTTCGTAGGAGAAATGCTCACCGAATGCCGATCCCAGATTTAATGACCCAGGGATCAGTTTTCAGTGGATTCCATCCACCCAGATGTTCCAGTGGCGACTGCGGGTTGGCATGTGACTCTGGTCCCGCCAGACGTCGGCTTCTTTTTTCGCTAGCGGAAAATGATGAAAGCCCATTTTGCGCAAAGGGCAAGGTCAAGTCTGGCAACGGTCCGATGTGTTTAATAATTCCGCCTTCCCCACATGCTGAGGTTCGCGCGAGGACGACGAGCTCTGATCGCCTTGGGAGCTGCGATCGTCTCAACTCACTGTGGAACCCGGATGGCGTGACCGGCGTGTGTACCCGCAACTTCATATGTAAAAGAATGAGATGGTTGGCACCTCCAGTCATCTGTAGCTCCCAACCCTGTTTTTGACACATCGCCAAAAGAACTAAAGTTATTGATATCGGAAACCTATCCGGATGATAGCTCCTCACCGGCAGTTGCACCAGAACAACCCGCTCACCAAGCAAATCGGAAAGATCTCTTTGCGCATCACATCCGTCTCCGAAAAAAAAATAGCTCGCTCAAAAGTGCCAAGTCCGGAAGCGCAGTGGCTGAGGCGCAGGCGCTTTTTCTTCTTCTTTTTCTTTTTCTTCTTTTCCTCCTGACCAGCGGACCCACTAAAGTGGCCTAAAGATTGTGAGATTGTCCGAAGTCTTCGCTCAGCAAGTCAGTCTCAACCAAAACCTTGGCATCAAACCGGTCTTGCGCTATCCTGGCTGTCCGCTTTCCAAGGCATTGACTTGGGCTGCGCTCTTTTTCAATGCTGCTACGCTTGCGCTTGCGCTTGCCCGCGGTCTCGCCCCGCGAACTGCTCGCGGCTCGCAACCACAACAGCCACTAGGCTTGTCACAGCCCGTCGAATGCTGGCACGATGTAAAGGCCCGAAAACACGGAGTCGCAAACATCCTGGCGGGTCTTTTTCTGAAGTTCATGAGTTTCTCATGGATGCCAATTGGACGCTGGTCCGCCACAAGGCTGCTGATGCTTTTGGGGGCTGTTGATCTTGAACATTGAGTGCAACTATGTTTAAACTATTGGGGGTAGCAACACCAGCGAATGAGAAGTCAAGCACAGAAAGCTAAATGCATCAAATGAAGCCATCTGAAAATACATACATGCATGCATGCGTACAATACCAACATACCTACATACACACACAACATACGTACATACAGTATATACATTACATTACGATACACTACATTACATTACATTACACCACAATACATTGCATTACGTTACATGGCATTACATTACATGCATGCATACATACATGCATACATGCATACATGCATACATACATGCATGCATACATACATACAAACCTACATACCTGCATACCTGTATACATAGATACCTACATACATTACATACATTGCATACATACATCCATACATACATACATAAATACATACATGACATTACATTACATTACATACATTACATTACATTACATTACACTCATACATACATACATACTATACATACATTACATACATTACACACATTACATACCCTACATACATACATTAGATACATACATACATACATACATACATACATGCATGCATGCATACATACATACATACATTAGATACATACCTACATACATACATACATACATGCATGCATACATACATTAGATACATACATACATACATACATGCATACATACATACATACATACGTTACATACGTTACATACATTACATACATACATACATACATACATACATACATACATTACATTACATACATACATACATACATACATACATACATACATACATACATACATACATACATACATACATTAGATACATACCTACATACATACATACATACATGCATGCATACATACATTAGATACATACATATATACATACATGCATACATACATACATACATACGTTACATACGTTACATACATACATACATACATACATACATACATACATACATACATACATACATACATAACATACATACATACATACATACATACATACATACATACATAAATACATACATACATACATACATACATACATACATACATACATACATACATACATACATTACATACATACATACATACATACATACATACATACATACATACATACATACATACATACATTACATTACATACATACATACATACATACATACATAACATAACATAACATAACATACATACATACATACATACATACATACATACATACATACATACATACATACAGACATACATTACATACACACATACATACATACATACATACATACATACATACATACATACATACATACATACATACATACATACATACATACATACATACACATACATACATACATACATACATACATACATACATACATACATACATACATACATACATACATTACATACATACATACATACATACATACATACATACATACATACATACATACATACATACATACATACATACATACATACATACATACATACATACATACATACATACATACATACATACATACATACATACATACATACATACATACATACATACATACATACATACATACATACATACATACATACATACATACATACATACATACATACATACATACATACATACATACATACATACATACATACATACATACATACATACATACATACATACATACATACATACATACATACATACATACATACATACATACATACATACATACATACATACATACATACATACATACATACATACATACATACATACATATACATACATACATACATACATACATACATACATACATACATACATACATACATACATACATACATACATACATACATACATACATACATACATACATACATACATACATACATACATACATACATACATACATACATACATACATACATACATACATACATACATACATACATACATACATACATACATACATACATACATACATACATACATACATACATACATACATACATACATACATACATACATACATACATACATACATACATACATACATACATACATACATACATACATACATACATACATACATACATACATACATACATTACATACATACATACATACATACATACATACATACATACATACATACATACATACATACATACATACATACATACATACATACATACATACATACATACATACATACATACATACATACATACATACATACATACATACATACATACATACATACATACATACATACATACATACATACATACATACATACATACATACATACATACATACATACATACATACATACATACATACATACATACATACATACATACATACATACATACATACATACATACATACATACATACATACATACATACATACATACATACATACATACATACATACATACATACATACATACATACATACATACATACATACATACATACATACATACATACATACATACATACATACATACATACATTACATACATACATACATACATACATACATACATACATACATACATTACATACATTACATACATACATACATACATACATACATACATACATTACATACATACATACATACATACATACATACATACATACATACATACATACATACATACATACATACATACATACATACATACATACATACATACATACATACATACATACATACATACATACATACATACATACATACATACATTACATTCATACATACATACATACATACATACATACATACATACATACATACATACATTACATACATTACATACATACATACATACATACATTACATACATTACAACATACATACATACATTACATACAACATACATTACATTACATTACATTACATTACATACATACATTACATACATTACATTACATTACATTACATTACATTACATTACATTACATTACATTACATTACATTACATACATACATTACATACATACATACATACATACATACATACATACATACATACATACATACATACATACATACATACATACATACATACATACATTACATACATACATACATACATACATACATACATACATACATACATACATACATACATACATACATACATACATACATACATACATACATACATACATACATACATACATACATACATACATACATACATACATACATACATACATACATACATACATACATACATACATACATACATACATACATACATACATACATACATACATACATACATACATACATACATACATACATACATACATACATACATACATACATACATACATACATACATACATACATACATACATACATACATACATACATACATACATACATACATACATACATACATACATACATACATACATACATACATACATACATACATACATACATACATACATACATACATACATACATACATACATACATACATACATACATACATACATACATTACATACATACATACATACATACATA